TGTGGAGACCCTGAAGAGGGAACAGCTGAAAGAAGAAGGTTCTGAGCCATAGACAGCTGCAGTATGATGCTAAGTCACTGCGCTCTGATTAATAGTATAATCCTACCAGACCATTCAGCTTTGGCTCTGCAGCTGGATGGAGGACGTCTGTGCACGCGGGGGAAGAGAGTTCAGACTGTGGGGTCAGATCAGACCATTTTCCTGCACTAAGACACATCCACCACTCTCAGAACATTACTGGAAAGCTGCTTTAGCACACATGGGTATATTCAACCAAGCAGCATGTTCTGCTCCCTCCCACCCTCCTTCCTGTCTCTCTATGAGCCAAGTTGAACACGACACGCCGCCTCTTCCCTTTTTCTTTTCATCCCGTTTCCTGCCCTGTCCTCTACTTTACTCCAGTACTTCCTCTAATCTCTGCAGGACTTGATCTTTTACAGTTCACAGCTTTTCTTCCCTTCTGGGTCACACTTTTTGTTTAAATCCCTCCTCTTTGCATTTAATTGTTTGAAAAGATGAACAACACCTACTGGTAATGTAATAAACGGCTCAGACACCGTTTATTTATCTGCTACACACATTCATACACCGATGGGACACACATCAGAGGCAATGAGGGGATCAGTGTCTTGCCCAGGGACACTTCAGCATGTGTTTACTGGTGGAATTGAACCCCCAACTCTCCCATTGGAGGAGGACCGCTCTCAGCCACAGCTGCCCCAAAAGGGAGAAGCATATTGGTGTTTGTAGATGTAGATGTTGTAAATGACTCTGCAACACCACATTTTAGTTCAACATCTGTAAAACTGATTATATCAGTTTCTGTTAGCAAATGTCCATTAGCCTTGTAGCCATTTTGAATTAAGCTAGCGCTAAAAGTTAACGAGTTGTAAAATTGCTGAATTGTATACCTGGATTATTGAGCATGGTCTTTTTTGGTTAACGAGTTGTAGTTTTATTAAAATAATTTCCGTGGATTATGAGAACTTTTGCCAACAGACATATCGGGTTGGTGGCCACAGTTAATGCTAAAGTTTGAAGCAAAAACATTCAGCAGTGTGTAGTCCTTGGAGTAAGTGTTCGGGACTGGTTCATGAGATATTTTGCTAACAGACAGCCAAACACAGAGATGCTGGCACTCTTTGGCTGCCATCTTACATCCATCTGCATTCATCTGCATCCATCTGCATCCAACTGCATCCATCTTACATCCACCTGCATCCACCTGCAGCCATGTTACATCCATCTGCATCCATCTTACATCAATCTGCAGCCATCTTACATCAATCTGCAGCCATCTTACATCCATCTGCATCCATCTTACATCCATCTGCATCCAACTGCATCCATCTTTTCCATCTTCCATCCATCTTACATTCACCTGCATCCACCTGCATCCATCTGCTGCCATTTTACATCCATCTGCATCCATCTTACATCATCTGCATCCATCTTATATCCATCTGCATCCATCTTACACCCATCTGCATCCATCTTACATCTATCTGCATCCATCTTACATCTATCTGCATCCATCTTACATCCATGTTACATCTATCTGCATCCATCTTTCATCCATCTGCATCCATGTTACATCATCTGCATCCATCTTACACCCATCTGCATCCTGCATCCATCTTACATCCATCTGCATCCATGTTCCATCATCTGCATCCATCTTACATCCATCTGCATCCATCTGCATCCATCTTACATCCATCTGCATCCATGTTCCATCATCTGCATCCATCTTACATCCATGTGCATCCTGCATCATCTTACATCCATCTGCATCCATCTTTCTACACTGCAGCAGATCAGCATCTCTACCATTTTGTTTGTGTTTTCATACAAATAAGAAATGATCATGTTTTATGTTCTGGATGGCCGGTGCACCAAACATTTACTGCCGTCTATTCCTAAATGTGTCTCTGCTGCTTTTTCTCTGTTCTGACCAGTGACACAAATTCATCTCCAACCAGGACATCTGTGTTACAGAACAACAAGACAAATATGAGTTGTTCAATGCCTGATTAATTTGCAGAGTGCCTGATAATGTAAAATAAATTTAGCTGCAATCAACAATAAGTAAAGAGAAATAGATTATGTAAACCTGTTGCTGATTTCTACAGATCTCCACACTCTCCTGTTTGACTTTGAGTTCCTAACCATCGATGTTCACGCTCTTTTATCTGACAAGCTTTGGTTCTGAACTTCTTTCCTCGCTCCACTTGTTTGTGTCCTGCTCGTTTCATCGGTTGTTTCCCAGTTGAATCTGTTCTCCTCTGCACTGCAGTGGCCCCAGCAAGGATCTGGACTGGATTCTGCACT